GCTGACCTTAAGGTTCGCAGCCCGATTCGTAACCACTACGCTAAGTAGGACATCAAAAAAGATGAACCCCAAAGAGATGGATTGGCACAGTCTCAAGCATAGGGCAGTTGTGAGGATGGAGCCAGGCTGGGCGGCTTCGTTCTGTTGTATAGGGTCCCCCGATGTTGGACATAGGAACCGACTCGACGGCACCTAACAACAGGAAACAGAGCGCGGTGGCTCAATAGGATGTGCACAGGACCATGAACCACATGGTCGGTGGTTTGAGCCTTGTGAAAAAAAGGTGAGGCTTTCTGCTCCTGCAAAATTTACAGCCTCAGAAACCCTATACAGACTCGCTGAGTCGGAACCGACTGGACGGCACATAACAGGAAAGAGAAAATACTGCCCACACAGGCTTCAGAGATGCTTAAAATGGAGAGAGCCGGCAGCTCAAACTCGATAAGCTATGGCGATTCTCTGGTCACCTCCCTCACTTCAAGTCAGTCAGCGAACTTCCTTAAGGGTCTGGCCGCACCCAGAGCGAAGATCAAGGGGCCCGCACCGGGGGATGGAGCAGAGGCCGCAGAGAGTGTGCGCGCTGAGGTCCGACTGGGACAGAAAGAGGATGGAGGCGGAGATCGACCCTCAGAGGCAGGTCTGCAGGGCGATGGCAGGGCGAGGAACTGGGATGGCGGCACGCCCCCGCGCGACGCTCCAACGTCACCCCTCCCCGCCCACTTCCGCCCGTTACCAGTCTCTTGTCTTTCTCCCTCCACGTTGCTAGGGAAAAGGCGTATTATCGCGAGAGTTCCGATCTTTCCTGGCGTACAGATCGCGCGAGACCGCAGAGGAAGCAGGAGCGAGTGGCGCGCTCTGCGGCCGCGACGGACGCAAGATGGCGACGGCGACCTTAGCTCTCGTAAGTGGCATCCCAGTGAGCGCGGGCTGCCCCTTAGCTGGCGGGAGCGGGTCATCGGCCCGGTCTAGGTCGCAGAAGGACCCCGGAAGCGCAACGGCCACTCCCGAGCCCTGCGCGGCCCCGTACGGCGCTTCGTCTCGTGAAACGGGGGCGGGGCGGAGGCGGGAGCGCGCGGCCCGGGTCCGGCTGCGGACGCAGCTTCCGGCTCGCGGATACAGTTTCCTGTCGGCCCCGCGGGTGGGCCGGGCTCTTGGGGGTTCACGGTTATCGCTTGGGGCCTCGGGGTCCGCATTGGCTTGGGTTCTTCAGAGCCCGGCCCCCGCGTGCGATCGGGTCGGCCTACAGGGGATGGTCGTGTTTCCTTTGCTGGCGGGGACATGCGCTGTGGCCCTGACTTGAAATGGGGGGCTCATGAGCGTGATGGCGTCTGCTCCTACTGTTTGTCTGAAGCGGGGCTGCGCCAAAGCGGGTGCCCAGGGCACTGCGTCACCGGGCTTGGGGGAGAAGCAGACCGGGGCCAGGGGTTCAGTGACGAGCTTTGGCACCTCCATCCCGTTATTCCCCACTTGTCCTCTCTTCAGACAGGCAATCCCTGCCCTGTTCCGAGGTCTGGTGGTCACTGCGGACCTGGGTGGGAGGAAGCTGTCCCTCCCAGATGCCGCTGACTGGACCCCTGCAGGAGTTGGGCTCAGAAAGCGTGGGTACCAGGAGGAAGGTGCCCACCGCTGGGGCAGGGGCGCACAGGCCACCTCCCTCGGCACAGCCACGTGGGTGGTCAGCATGGACACAACTGGAAAGTAGGCATGAAGGATGGGAGCAGCGGTGGCTCGGTAGTAGAACCCTTGCCTTCTTTACAGAAGACCTGAGTTCAGCTCCCAGCCAATACTCCACATGCGTAGCCACCTCTCATCTGCCAGAGGAGGCCTGTGATGCTGCACAGGTGTCCGCAGAGTTTCCAGGCTAAGACAGACTAGGAAGAAAGACCTGGAGCTATACTCCCAGCCCCCCACCCCCACAAAAAATCAGCCAATGAAAACCTGATTATTGAAGGAAGATGCCTGCTCACCTTCCCTCTAGTCTAGTGATCTCCCGTGTAGTAATTTCTGCCTCCACTTTGTGTGTTGACCCTGCTTCTCTTCATGAAGCTGAGCCCCGCCATAGCCAACGTGCTTCTGCCCACCTCCGGGTGATTTGTGAGGTCTGTTTGAGGACAAGCTTTGGCGGGAGACTCCGAGGATCAGGGAGAATGCTGAGTGGGGCTCTAAGTTGGGAGCTGACCCTATCTCCCCAGGGGAGGGGCTGCTGCACAAGACCCCCTGTTTGGTGGCCCCCCGTGGCCAGCTTCACTGTTCTCTTCCTATCCAATCCTGCTTCATGGGGAACCATGGGAGCAGGTTACCTTTGGAGGTGGTGGGATGCCAGGTTAGCTGTCCCTGGGCAGTGGTCAGAGACTTGGGTAATAAAGGCCAGGGATGCTCAGAGACGAGGATTGGGACATCTGCGAAGGTGGGTTCCCTCCTGTGGCACCCACAAAGCAGCGTGAACACCAAGCCCGAGTCTAGGAAAGGGGACCTGGTGGGGGGCTGGCTGCTTGGGACCAGACTACTGTGCTGGGCCCTGCTCTTCAGTAGCATGGTGCTAGAAATGGAGCATCATCTTGTGGGGGGGGGGGGGGTTTGCACGTGGGCAGACACTCAGTCTGAGCCCTGTCAGGTGGGGTTCTCACAGGGGTGTTTGTTGCCTTTTGGGATCCTCTCAGGCTTCAAAGATTTTCTTGTAACTGACCCCATCTGATCTGGGAGTGAGGCGTCAGGGCTGACCTCACTAGCTCAGTCCTAAGAAATGTTTCCTGGGTTCTGTCCTCTGTCTAGTGGTTACTGTGCATGCTTGGGGATACTGACTCCTCCCAAGCAGCACCTCAGCCCTGTCATAGTGTGTGGCTTCCCTGGTGGCTTGGTGCCTTTCAACTCCACTCTTCCTGTTCCTCGACCCTGGCTGGAGTGCTGGGACTGGTGGAAGTGGCTTCCGGCAGCCACCCTCCTCTTGGGGACTCCAAATACACCCTGTGGTCGGGGTTGGCTCAGACACTCTGCGGAATGACTTGGAGTCTTCTCAGCAGTCCTGGAGACAGGCACCGTCATTGTCATCCTCTCAGCTTACAGATGTAGAGACACTTGGGCCATATTGTTGTGGTTAGGTGCTGTTGCGTCGGTACGGACTCATAGTGACCCATGCATTGCCTTGTCCTATACCAGTCTCACTGTCGCTGCTATGTTTGAGCCCATTGCTGCTGTCCCTCCACTTTAGCAAGCATGATGTCCTTCTCCAGGGACAGATTACTCCTGTCCAAAGTGTGAGAAACAATATCTGCATATCCTGGCATCTAAGGAGCATTCTGGCTGTACTTGTGTTAACACAGATTTTTCCTCGGGTAGTCCATGGTACCTTTAATAATCTCCAACACCATTACACAAATGCGTGAATTTTTCTGTCGTCTCTTTTATCCTTTGTCCAGTTTTCACATTCATCTGAGGCTTGCGTCAGGCACACTGCCGTCGTCCTCCCACTGACATCTTTGCTCTTGAACACTTTAAAGAGGTCTTGTTTAGCAGGCTTGCCTAATGCAATACCTCATTTGATTTCTTGACTGCTGCTTCAGTGAGTGTTAATGGTGAATCTGAGTAAAATGAAGTCTTTGACAACTTTAATTTTTTCTTCATTTATCTCAATGTTATTTATTGATCCAGTTGTGAGGATATTTTCTTTACTTTATACTGAGGTGCAACCCTTACCAAAGACTGGCCTTTGACCCTCAACAGTATTTTAAGTCCTCTTCCCTTTCAACAAGCAAGGTTGTATCATCTGCATGTCACAGGATGCTAATGAGCCTTCCTCCTATCTTGATGTCATGTTCTTCCTGATATAATCCAGCTTCTTTGATTATTTGCTCAGCATACAAACTGAATAAGTATAGTGAAAGAATACAACCCTGGTGCAGACCTTTCCTAATTCTAAACCATTCAGTGTCCCCTCGTTCTGTTGGAAAGGCCTACCTCTTAATCTAAGTCCAGGTTCCTCTTAGCACAGTGAAATGTTTCAGGATGATACTCCTTCTCTGCAGCGCTGTCCAGAGCTTGTCATGAGCTGCCCAGTGAAAAGCTTCTGCGTAGTCAATGAAGCACAGGTAAACATCCTTCTGGTATTTTCTGCTTTCAGCCAAGATCCATTGGACGTCAGCAGTAATACCCCTTGTTCCGGTCCTTATCTGAATCCAGCTTGAACCTATGGTAGTTTCCTGTCACTATACTGGTACAGCTGTTTTTAAATGATCTTTAACAAAATTGAGTTGAACGGGTTACTAATGGTATTGTCTGATGATTTCTGCAATCCACTGGGTCATCTCTCTTTGGAATGGGCACAGATATGCATCTGTTCAATCAGTTGGTCAGGTACTTGTCCACATTTGTTGCCATAGATAAATGAGTGCTTCCAGTGCTGTATTAGTTTGTTCCAGTGCTGTATTAGTTTGTTCAATTTGTATTCCGTCAATTCCCAGAGCCATGTTATATGCTCATGCCTTCAGTGCACCTTGGACTTCTTCGGTATCGTATGCTACCTCTTGAGATGATTGGACATCAACCACTTATTTCTTTTTTTTTTAAATAACACATAATTGTGAATTATGTATTAGTTTTCATGGGCAAACATTATCCATTATCCTTACATTCATCCTATCGTATTTTGGCTCTGTATTCCTGCCATCTTTCTCTGAAGATGTACAATGGCATGGGAGCATCAGCAGTGTGAAAGTTGATCTCTTTGAAGTGGAGTTCTCACAGAAGCTGCCCCTCCCTCACATGCTCTCATCCCATGGAGTTCACAGGCTATTCTGAGGTTGTGGGGTTACTAGGGAAGCAACAGGCTACATTTGTAACCTTTCTGAAGGCTGTCAGGACCTGAAGCACGGTCTGGTGAAGAGTAAAGAAGACATCCTTCTTTAATCCATCTTTCACCCCAAATTCCTCAACTGGACTAGTAGACAACCTTATGATAAATGGAGAGAAGGTTAAAATTGTTAAGGATTTCGTTTTACTTGGATCCACAATCAACACTCGTGGAAGCAGCAGTTGAGAAACCAAGTGATGTACTTTATTATATTAGGTGTACCTTCAGCTCAAGACATCTTTAAAATTTAAAGAACTAAGATGTCAGTTTGAAGACTAAGGGGCACTTGACTCAAGCCATGGCATTTTCAATCACCTCATATGCATGTGAAAGCTGGACAGTGAAGAAGGAAGAATGGATGCATCTAAATTGTGGTGTTGGCAAGAGTATTGAAATGACTGTGAATAAACTAGAACACAAACAAATCTGAATTTCAAGAAACATAGGAAGAACGCTTCTTAGAAGCCACGATGGGTCTGTCATCAGGAGGGACCAACTCCCTCCGACCACCCTACCGCCCCCGAAAAGGACTTCATGCTTGGTATAGCAGAGGGTCCGTGAGAAAGAAGATGACCCCCAACGGTATAGATGGGCATATGACTGCAGCATGGGCTCAACCCTGACAGTGGAGGGCCTAGCACAGGACCAGGCATTGCTTCATCGGGTCACTATGTGTCAGAACTGACTCCATAGACCTACCGTCAGCTTACCCTTAAGGATCTAGTTCTGTGGTTAGGACAGCTTTGTTTTGACTGCCTGCTTGCTGGTCGGCCTGTCTCTCAGCGCCTCTCCCCTGCTCTGGCAGATGGTACAAAGTGTCCTACCAGGAAGCTGCTTGCCCCAAGTTACTCAGCTCTCTGCCTCCCTGGGTTGGTGCATCCAGCTCCCATGCCACTGCTGTCTCGTGGGTCTAGGACTTCTCGTCTCAGGGACCCTTGGTGGTGGTGATTCCGTCCAAGCCTGGCAGGATGGCAGGACTGACTAATCCTCTATAAAAAGCTTGGGAATTAGCCCCCTGAGTGAACCAGCAGCAGCTTATGAGGCCCCGCCCAGTCATTTTGTGGGAGCCACAAGGAGCCCTGGTCGTGAAGTGGATTAAGCTGGGCTGCTAACTGCAAGGTCAGCAGTTCGAATCTACCAGCTGCTCCATGGGATTTCTAAAGACTTACAGTCTCAGAAACCCTTTAGAGAGTCACTGTGAGTTGGAAGCCATTCGACAGCACCCCCACAAGGCTAGGGGGATGTTACAGCAGGCCACTGCTCCACGTCCCAGCTGTCCTTTGCCTCCGTGTTGGCAGGTGGGGGAGCTAGTGCTCCTCAGTGCCTGGTGTAGAACCCTCTTGCTATGCCACCTTCTCGGGTGTGCCTTGCCCACAGAGGCACTGCTGTGTGGGGATGAGGGGTCGTGACCTCAGAACCTGCCAGACACCTGGCTAGCTAGGCAGAACCAGAACCTGCACTGGCCCTGATGAACATGTGATGTGGCCTGGGTGAGCTCCTCAAGGGACTGGCCTTTCCCCAAAAGTCTTCTGAGACCACATCTGATTTTTGAGCCCTGTCCCGGGCTGGTCCAGTAGTTTAGGGCATTAGAAGGTTAGGGTGAGACCCACACACTCCCCATCTCTGTGGAGGTCAGGTTTACTGTGGGTATCAGGAGACCACCAGTCAGAGGAGCCCTGGAGGGGAGCCCTGGATGGACCGGCTCACCTTCACTCTGTTGTTTGGGTTGAGGGGCAGCAGGGAGGGTGACCCTGAGCCTGCTGGTCCTCATTGTGTCTGGGAGAGGGCTGAGTGGGCTGCTCTCTGGCTGTGAGTCCCCCAAGCCTGACCCATCCCTGGTTGGCTGATCCTGCAGAGGATGAATGGGGCTCAGGAGATGATGGTTTTCTGGGGGGCAGGGATCTGTCTGTGTCCCATGCTAGGGGAGGTGGGCCCGCTGGTGGCCGCAGGACAGCTGCAGACTGAGGAGAGCAGGGCACAGCTTGACTCTCCATCTTCCCCTGGGGCTGGCTCGGGTCTGCCAGGGCAGCCCCAGGCTGGGCACATGGTGGGGTGGGGTTCTGAGGCCTAGCTGCCTGACAACATCCTCCCTGCCTGCAGCAGGTCAATGGCCAGCAAGGAGGGGGGTCCGAGCCAGCGGCGGTGGCAGCGGCGGCGGCAGCGGCAGTGGTGGCAGCAGGAGACAAATGGAAGCCTCCTCAGGTACCGACTTTAAATCTCTTCTCCCTCAGGCCCGCCTGCCTGCCTGCCCGCCCGCCCGCCCGCGCCCCCGTGCGCGTGCGTGTGTGTCTGTCTGTGTGCGTGTGCGCGTGTGCGCGCGCCCGCCTGCCTGTCCATCCAGGGCCACCATAGGGACCCTCCTCTGCATTCCTGGAGAGGGCCCCCACTGCGCCCACCCTCCCCCAGCTTCCTGGCCCTGCCTCTCCCCTAGGTGGTGCTTTGGGACAGGTAGGGTGGGAATACTGGTCAGATCTTGTGCCTCTTTTTAAGGCCCAGAATGCAAGTCCTCACATCTAGTCTTGTCTTGTTTAACCCAGAGAGCCCAACACAGCAGCATCCAGCTGGGAAGGGGGCCTGGGGGCCGGCCTGTGGTCCCTCAGGGTGGGGAGGAGCTGGCACGGGGGGGCGGGGCTCACTGTTGGTTGGCAGTGCTTTCTTTGTGTGCCTCTGTGGCATCACCCACCTCCAGAAGGGGGAGGCAGGGGGGGCTCACACAGTGGCAGGGTGGCCTGTCCTCCCTGTGCCCCACCCCAGGGTCCACAGCATGGTATGCCCCCGGGTCCTGGGAAGTTGCTCTTGCCGTGTGGGATTGGTGGGGGCCCGCCACAGCCTGGGCTGCTTGTTCAGATTGTTGGCTGGGGGGGAAAGGGCCTTTTGTTCCGTAAGACAAAGAGGGTATTGACAATTTCTAGGGGGCTGAGAGGCTAGCATTGATCACCATGGTGACTCGGGGCTCTGGGGTCTGAGCCCCTCCTCGTGGGGCCCCTCCCACTTGAGCACACTGGGCTCGGGTGAGCAGGGGGCAGGGAAAGCCGAGCCTGACCTCAGAGCCTGCTCGGGACCCCCAGGGCCTCCAGGGCTGCCTGCTTTTTGGACCCAAGCCCCCAATCCAGCATGAAGGACTGGCTGCTGGGTTCCTGGGCCCCGGGCCTGTGACCGTTCTGCTCCCTACCATCTGCCACTGGGTGCAGGCCTCATGCCATCTCCATGCTGTAGTGAGACCCCAACAAACCCATCAGCCTGTGTGTCCTGGTTCTGGTCTGCTGACATGGGTGTGTTCTGTCCCTTACAAAAGAGGAGGGAGAGGGCATGTGCTGGCCCTGGTGGCCGGGTCCCCTGTGTCCCATGACTGGTCTGCTTCTGCTTCTCTTGGGGGCTGCTGGGGCATGACCACTGCCCACAGTATGTGCCTGCAGAGATCCTCTTCCATGCTTGGCCCCATGGGTGGCCTTGGCAGTCATTGTAACCAGGGGCCATGTACCTGTGGCTGTGGCAAGTGCCTCCCAGACTGTGAGCAGGTCAAGATGGCTTGGGCCTAGGGCACTCTGGGAGTAGAAAGTGGCTGGTGCAGACAACCCTGAGCATGGCCCCCACCTTGAGGAAAGCTGAGGGCTGCTCCACTACAGAGCACAGAGGGTTCTGGGTAGCCTGCCTCAGTCTGTGTCCTCCCCATAAGTTCCTGGAGGCTGGGAGGGCAGAGCTCAGCCAGGCCACAGACACCTTTGGGGGCTGTGTGAGGGAAGCGGGGGGAGCCCATTGTCTAAAGACCCCACCCCACCCCCAGGGCACTGACACCATCAAGATGGAGAATGGGCAGAGCACAGCCTCCAAGCTGGGGCTGCCCCCCCTGACCCCTGAGCAGCAAGAGGCCCTCCAGAAGGTGAGCAGGGGCTCCAGGGTCAGGGGGCTGGGAGTGGGGGCTTGGTGGGCTCGGAGGAAGGCCGTGTCCCAGCAGGCCGGCCCCCCAGTGCTCCTCAGCACCGTCTCCCACAGGCCAAGAAGTACGCCATGGAGCAGAGCATCAAGAGCGTGCTGGTGAAGCAGACCATAGCGCACCAGCAACAGCAGCTTACCAACCTGCAGGTGAGCCCCCTGTCTGCCCCCCCCCCCCACCTCGGCGCTCTCTCCTCCTCCTGCTCCTGCCTCAGGGGCTCCTTCTGGGGACCCCCAGGCCCCCCCCTGAGGCCCACTAGACCCCGGCCACTCTCCACCTTCAGTGTCACCTCTGTCCACACCCTGGCCCCCAGCCTTTGTGCAGCGGCCCTGGGCCACAAGTAAGTCAGGCTGTAGACCTGGCCCAGGCTTGGAGGCAGTCCCTGGGCCTCGAGCCCCACCCCACCCAGCCCTCAGACTTGCAAGCTGCCAGGAGGTGGCCAGGTTCTCCATGCGTCCCTCCTTTGTCCATCCTTCCCTCCCTCCCTCTCTCCCTCCCTCCCTCCTTCCCTCCCTCCCTCCCTTTTTGGTTTCTGCTGGCCGGCCAGGCTGCAGGGCTGAGCAGGGGGCTCTGAGGCTCCCTTGAGCGGGCGCTGGCAGCAGCCAGTGGCCAGCAGTGTGGCAGGCAAGGCAGGCCGGCGGGCGGCCTGGCTGCAGGGCGGGAACCGGGCCTGCCAGTGTCTGCGTGAGGTGCTGACGAGAGGGGACTGCTCGGCTCCAACAGACTGAACTCTGTCTTTACTGTCTTTCAGATGGCAGCAGTGACAATGGGCTTTGGAGATCCTCTCTCGCCTTTGCAATCGGTCAATAGACTTGCTCACTTCTTCTGGGCTCATGTTCTTAGTCAGGGCTAGAGGGGGGCCTCGCTGCCCGCCCGCTCTGGACGAGCGCAGCAGAGCGCCAGGTGTGGCGGGCCAGTGTACGGGGCCCCCCCGGACCACCCGGGGAGGCCCCTTCCTCTGAGGGCCCCCTTAAGTCTAACCGGCCAGGTAACTGCGGAGGGCAGCCGGTCAGGGAGTCAGGGAGGGCAGCCGCAGGCCCCACATGCACGGCTGCAGTCTCCAGGCTGCCCTGGCTCCCGGGTTGGGGTCAGGCCCCTGAGGAGAGAGGGGCTCCTAATTCAGGGCCCCATCAGACCCTGGAGGGAGGGCAGATGGCCTGGGGAGGGGGGGCTGGGGGCCCTGAGCCAGCAAGAGGGAAGGGTGAGGGCCTGGGCCGTAGGCCTGGGCCATGGTGAGGGTTGAGGCGCCACCAGGGAGCTGGTGGCCTCACTGGAGAGGTGGCACCTTGGCTGCGGGCCCAGAGGGCAGGGGAGGAAGGTGGCCTCCTCTTTTCCCCGAGGCCACTCCAAAGGAGACTGGACCCTGAGTTTGGGGAGGCTGAGGAGGACATGGCCCCCTCTGTGGGGCGCTGCCATGACGGGGCAGATGACCCACCCCATCCCTGGGTGTGTTGGTCTCCGGGAGCTTTAGCCCAGCTCTGGGACCTGGCTTATTTGAGAGAGGCCAGTCAGTGTCTTCTGTGGGTGGGACCTCGGGAGCCCTACATGGAGGCTCTACCTGGACCCGTGGTCGGGGCCCTTGTAATAGAAGGGAGTGGTCCACACAGAACTGTGCACGGGCTGGTCCCACTTCGGGGGAATTTGTGGTCTGAGGGAAGCTGTGCCCCCTTGGGAAGCCCCATACAGTTAGGAGGCCCATGGGGCCTGCTTTAGGGGAGACGTGGGGCCTTATTTTTAAACCCTTCTGTGGCGGAGCCTGGCCCCCGCTAGGCCAGCTGATGTGAGAAAGTGAAGCAAGCCTCTCATTGCCGGGGCCTTGGTGCGGGGAGCCGTCTAAGGAGGGGCAGGAGACTCGGGCCCACTTGTCTGCCTTTGAGCCAGGTGGTCTGCTGCCTGTGGCTCTGCGACCCCTGCCCAGCCTACCTTCTGTGAGGTGTGGGGTCCCTCATCACTTAGGCAACTCTATTCTGGGCCTGCCCAGCCCCTCACCTCCCGGCCTCCTTTCTGGGGACTCTGGACTCTCGGATCTCTCCTGAGGGCCAAGCCCGCCTGGCTGTGGAGGAGGGCTCTAGGCAGCCCTTTTTCAGGGGTTTTGGGCATGGGGAGGACATTTGACACTGAGCCCAAGGTAGCCAGCCACAAACATCAGCGACTCCTCCCTCTGGGCCCAATGGCGTCTCCCAGGGTGCTCTTCTGCCCATCTTCTGCCCGCCATCTGCCCTTCTTCTACCCGCTTGTCTTCTGGCCTCCGACCCAAGGCCCCAGCCTGGTGGCTTCTCCCTCCCTTCCGCCTCCCTCTGCCGAAGGACGTGGCCAGGCCGGTGGGAGGCCCCGACCTCAGCTCTGGGCCTTGTTGCCCATCAGCCTGGGGAGCTGGGGTTGTACCTGTGCTCTGCCTCTGGTTCTGGCCTGCCTTCAGGAGGATGGGGTCCTGTTGACCCCTAGGCCTCTGCAGGTGCCAAGCCTTTCTGCTGCCGTGTGGGTGGACCAGACGGGGAGCGGGCTTCCCACTCTGGCTCCCCCTCATGAGCCAGTGGTTCTCTCCCCCACTTCTGTCCTGCTCCAGATGGCGGCACAACGGCAGCGGGCGCTGGCCATCATGTGCCGCGTCTACGTGGGCTCCATCTACTATGAGCTTGGGGAGGACACCATCCGCCAGGCCTTCGCGCCCTTTGGCCCCATCAAGAGCATAGATATGTCTTGGGACTCGGTCACGATGAAGCACAAGGTGAGCGTCACCACCAGCCTGCCCCTCGCTCTGCCCCTTGCTCTGCCCCGGGCCCGGACCTGATGGGTACCTCCCTATGGGCCTCCGCAGGGCTTTGCCTTTGTGGAATACGAGGTCCCAGAGGCTGCACAACTGGCTTTGGAGCAGATGAACTCCGTGATGCTGGGAGGCAGGAACATCAAGGTGAGACCTTGAGTCCCTAGTGCCTGGACCTCCACCCAGTCCCCCACAGAAATGCAGAGTGGCCCCTCCCTCTCCCCAGGTGGGCAGGCCCAGCAACATCGGGCAGGCCCAACCCATCATTGACCAGCTGGCTGAGGAGGCGCGGGCCTTCAATCGCATCTACGTGGCCTCGGTGCACCAGGATCTCTCAGATGATGACATCAAGAGCGTGTTTGAGGCCTTTGGCAAGATTAAGTCTTGCACGCTGGCCCGGGACCCCACAACGGGCAAGCACAAGGGCTATGGTTTCATCGGTGAGCCCCAGGGCCATGGTGGGACGGAGGGGCCGTGATGGAGGCCTGTCCTTCTCACTGCTGCTCCTGCCTGCAGAATACGAGAAGGCCCAGTCGTCCCAGGATGCTGTGTCGTCCATGAACCTCTTTGACCTGGGAGGCCAGTACCTGCGGGTGGGCAAGGCCGTCACCCCCCCCATGCCCCTACTCACGCCTGCCACACCTGGAGGTCTCCCGCCTGCCGCTGCAGTGGCTGCAGCTGCAGCCACAGCCAAGATCACAGCGCAGGTGAGCTCTCCTGCCATTGGGGGGTTCTAACTATGGGTGAGCAAGCCCTGGTTCTCTGAGGACTGAGCACAGTGGCCTTTGGGCTTGCAGGAAGCAGTGGCTGGAGCAGCAGTGCTGGGCACGCTGGCCACGCCAGGATTGGTGTCACCTGCCTTGACGCTAGCCCAGCCTCTGGGCGCTCTGCCCCAAGCTGTCATGGCTGCCCAGGCCCCTGGTGTCATCACAGGTGAGTGAGGGAAGGGATGTCTACTGGCTTCCCGCCACTGGCTGCCCTCAGCTGAGCAGCTCAGCGCTCCCCGGGGAAAGACAGTGGCGTGACTGCTGGTCTGCCTTGATCCTGCTGCAGGTGTGACCCCGGCCCGTCCTCCCATTCCGGTTACGATCCCCTCGGTGGGGGTAGTAAACCCCATCCTTGCTAGCCCTCCAGCGCTGGGTCTCCTGGAACCTAAGAAGGAGAAGGAAGAAGAGGAGCTGTTTCCCGAGTCTGAGCGGCCGGAGATGCTGAGCGAGCAGGAGCATATGAGCATCTCGGGCAGCAGTGCCCGCCACATGGTCATGCAGAAGCTGCTCCGGAAGCAGGAGGTGGGTGGGCAGCCAGGCGGGGTAGGGTGCGTGGGCGGGACATGGGTCCTGTCTGGCCACAATGCTCAGCTGTCCTCCTCCTATCCCAACCCCAGTCCACAGTGATGGTGCTGCGCAACATGGTGGACCCCAAGGACATTGATGATGATTTGGAGGGGGAGGTCACCGAGGAATGCGGCAAGTTTGGGGCTGTGAACCGTGTCATCATCTACCAGGAGAAGCAGGGCGAGGAGGATGACGCCGAGATCATTGTGAAGATCTTTGTGGAGTTCTCCATGGCCTCTGAGACTCACAAGGCCATCCAGGCCCTGAATGGGCGCTGGTTCGCGGGCCGAAAGGTGGTGGCTGAAGTGTATGACCAGGAACGTTTTGACAATAGTGATCTCTCCGCGTGACCTTGGCCCCTTCCCGGACTCGCCCCTTGTCTTCTCTGCGTTTTATAAAACGATCTGTGGTATCCCAGGGCCTGATCGGGCCCACTGTGTGGATATAAATGCAGACGTTGCTGCTGGCCCCAGCCTCCTGTGTCTTGACCGGCGTCGTGTGCCCCTGCAGGCTTTAGCAGAGCCAAGGACCTGGTGGGTGGGGACTTGGGTGCTGACATTTGTTGCAGTCAGGCAGGGAGCTCTGGGGGCTTGAGAACTGCAGTGAGGGGGTGGAGATTTGGAGTGTCCTCTCTGTTGGATGTGCTGGTACTTAACTGCCCCATGCAGCTGGGGTGAGTTGGGGCTTTCCACCCGACCCAGCTTTACCTGCAGAGGAAGTACTGGGGGGGTGGGGGAAGGTAGGCCAGCTCCCCAGGTCTAGGAAACAGCCCTACAGAGCCTACATGATGCCTGGATTTACGATGATTCGTGTCACGTGATGGGGGGGGGCGTGGGCCGCTAGACCGGGCTGAAGGTTTAGATACGTGGCCAGAGGGAGCGCGGGAGGCGGGCCATGTCAGGTAGACCTGCAGGAACACCATTTCCCAGTGTGCCGCTCGCCGGTGGGGCAGGAAGGCATTTCCCGGCAGGCTACGCGCGGCCACTACGGGTCCTCGGAGGTGGTGCCGCCGCCGCAGTTTCTTCTGGGGCTTGTAGTTCTCGCGGCGCAGAGGCGGTAAGGGCCGGACTCGGCTTCCCGGCGGGCTGCGCGCGGCCGGGCGGGTGTCGGCGGGGCAGTCCGGCGGGCAGCGGCGGCGGTTCCGGCTGCGGCACAGCGGACGAGCGGGCGGGACGAGAGGAGCGGGCCGGCGGGATGCGGAGCCGCCGCCGCCGCCTCCTCCTCGTCAGCGCCTGAGCACCACCGGGCCGCGCCCCCCAGACCGCCTGCGTCCGACCCCTGAGCGTCCCGAGCGCGGCCGGCCGAGCAGCCGCCGGCCGCCCCTGCGGCTCATGCGGGCCGCGCCCCGCCCCCCGGCCCGAGCCCGCGCCCGCCCGCCCGCACCATGCTCAAGTGCATCCCGCTGTGGCGCTGCAACCGGCACGTGGAGTCGGTGGACCGGCGGCACTGCTCGCTGCAGGCCGTTCCCGAGGAGATCTACCGCTACAGCCGCAGCCTGGAGGAGTTGCTGCTGGACGCCAACCAGCTGCGCGAGCTGCCCAAGGTGAGCGGCCGTGGGGCTGCCGTGGAGCCGCCGCGCCTGGCCGGGTGGGGCAGCGTCGCTCCCAGCCGGCCCTGCTGCTTCCGACTGGCCGGAGCCGCTCCCCCCGGCCCCACCCTCCCGGCCGGCTCGACCGCCCTGACGGGCCCCAGGTGCCTGACCTGGGGGGCTCCGGGCCTAGAGGAGGAGACTGAGCGACTCGGGGGTGGGGGGGGAGGATGACGACAGTGGGGAGGACCGGGGGAGTGGTCCTAGTGGGCTTCACTCACTGGTGGGGGGCTGCGAGTCGCAGCGCGGCAAGGTCTGCTCCCGGATCGCTGGGAGAGAAACGCCAGGGAAGCAGGTCGTGACTTTCCGGAGACCCTCGTCCTAGCGCCGGTGCCTGGGGGCCATTTGCCCCAGAGGGCGGGGTTCCAGCTGCGGAGGCGTCTCCCCGTGGTCACCTGAAGCTGGGCTGGCAGCGCCCGGGCTTTACCTGCTATGGTAGCAGAGACCTGCAGGGGACAGTGGGATGGGCGATGGAGCAAGCAGCCTGGTGGGGACCGGGGATTCTGCGGTCTGAGCCTCGTGTCTCAGGCTGTGTGTGTGTGTGTGTGTGTGTGTGTGTGTGTGTGTGTGTGTCTGTCTGTCTGTCTGTCTGTCTGTCTGACCTTGGTGCCCCTGTTTGAGGCCGGAGAGTTGTGACTGGGCTCCCAGGTTTCTGCGGGATCTGCTGGAGGCGGATGAGGCAGGGTCTGAGGCGTGTAGGACCCAGAGGACTGAGTCCAGGTGCACACTTCTGTCCTGGAGGGCCCTCTGCTGACCACGCCCCCCTCTCACAGCCCTTTTTCCGTCTGTTGAACCTGCGAAAGCTGGGCCTCAGCGACAACGAAATCCAGCGCCTTCCCCCCGAAGTGGCCAACTTCATGCAATTGGTGGAGCTGGACGTGTCTCGGAACGGTGCGGGACACAAGGGTGGAGGGAGCGGGGTGCTCTGGGAGCCCGGGTGCCTTTCTACACTGACTCCTCCCATCACAGATATCACGGAGATCCCCGAGAGCATCAAGTTCTGCAAGGCCTTGGAGATCGCTGACTTCAGTGGGAACCCCCTGTCGAGGTGAGGAGCAGCTCCGCAATCAGTCATGTTGGGGGCTAGAGCCTTGGCTGTATGTCTGAAGTGGCTTCGTGGCCTTCCCTCTAGGCTCCCTGATGGCTTTACTCAGCTGCGCAGCTTGGCCCACCTGGCCCTGAACGACGTGTCCCTGCAGTCGCTGCCAGGGGATGTGGGCAAGTGAGTGCCCTACCACCTACCCTGCTACCCTGTCCCACCCATCCCATCCTCACGACCCGCTCCCCTCCCCCACTCTTTCAGCCTGGCCAACCTGGTGACCCTGGAGCTGCGTGAGAACCTGCTGAAATTCCTGCCTGCGTGAGTGCTCACAGTCCTTCACCCAGCAGGGCGGGGGGTGGCCAGAGCCTTGGGCCTCCTGCCACACAGTGCCACACTCTGCTTCTCCTCAGCTCTCTGTCCTTCCTGGTCAAGTTGGAACAGCTGGATCTTGGAGGCAATGACCTGGAAGTGCTGGTGCGGGACAAGGGGCCAGGGCTGGGGGTGTGGGGCTGGTGGGGTCTTGTACCTGTCACACTCACCCCCACTTACCTTGCAGCCCGACACTCTGGGGGCTCTGCCCAACCTGCGTGAGCTGTGGCTGGACCGGAACCAGCTGTCCGCACTGCCCCCGGTGAGTGGGGTCTGGGCTCGGCTCCCTTGGCCCTCCTGCCTTCCCAACTGCGCCTTGACCCTGTGTGCCTGACCCATAGGAGCTGGGGAACCTGAGGCGCCTTGTCTGTCTGGACGTGTCAGAGAACCGACTCGAGACTCTGCCCGCAGAGCTCGGTGGGCTGGCGCTGCTCACGGACCTGCTGCTCTCCCAGAACCTGCTGCAGCGGCTGCCTGATGGCATCGGTGTGCCAGGGGCTGGGAGGGCTCACCGGCACCAAGCCTACCCTGGTTGGGAATGTCTTGGTGCACACATCTGGTGTTGGGTGCTAGGGAGGGCTAGCACACATGGCTCTGTGGGACGGTCGGGTACCCAAAAGTCTGCCCGGCCGCCTCACACTCAGGTTTACACCGTGTCTCCCCACCCCTAGGCCAGCTGAAACAGCTGTCCATCCTGAAGGTAGACCAGAACCGCCTTTGTGAGGTGACCGAGGCCATTGGGGATTGTGAGAACTTGTCTGAGCTGGTGTTGACCGAGAACCTCTTAACGGTAGGACCCGGTGGGCTGGGACCTCAGGCATGAGCGACTGAGCACTGGGGCAGGGCTGGACATACACATGTGTATAAGCCAAGGGCCAGGTTGGTGGTGAACTAGCAATGTCCATTCCGCTTTTCATGAAGACCTTGTATGTGTTGGGTACAGGTGTGTTTGTGTATGTGTGTGTAGATAGCAGGTTTATAGGAACTACTTGTGTGCTGATATTTATATGCATATATGTATGTATACATACATGTGTAATCCTGTATATGGACGTGTGTCGCTGTGTTTGCAGACAGGCATGTAGATGTACTATAAACATGTGAGGTGTGTGTGCATGCAAGTGTGTAGGTTGTATACATGCAGATATGTGCACAAATGTGTGTCTATAGTATGTACAGTATGTCTGCATACATGTGTGAAGGTGTTTTGTACACATGTGTTTGCAGACATGGGCAGGTGTGTCTGCATGCATGTAGATGTCTGCTGGTTTCTGTACACAAGCGTCGGGACATGTGTGGATATATGTGTATAAGCATGTGCGCACATAAACATGTGTAGGTGTGTTTCCAGACACTGGATACATGTGTGTGCAGGCTTATATGTACATATAGGTGTGTGAATACATGTGTATATGTGTAAATGAGTGTGTGTTCATATAGGTAGATGGATGCAGGTATGTGTGCATACAGGTATGCAGCTACATATGTGTGCGGGTGTATGTGCATTTAGACGTGTGCAGGTGTACCTGCAGACAAGTGTGTAGACATGTGTTTGGGTATACACGTATAGATGTGTAGGGTGGGCACACAGGTGCGTAGGTACATGTGTATGTGAATATAGATTTGTGTAGCTATGTCTGCAGATGGGAGGAGGTCTGCACTAAGGACGTTTGGGGAGGGGTGTGATGGGATCCCCCTGTGGGCAGAGGCTGCAGGGCCCTGGGAAAGATGTTCTCCGGGAGCCCCAAGGTCAGGTGCAGACGAGCAGGGACGGGCAGAGCAGAGCCAGCCTGGCACAGATGGCGAGGGACAGCTCAGGGATGAGGTTGGAGGCGCTAAGTGCTAAGTCTGGGTCTGCCACCCCAGGTGTGCCTGGTGCAGGGTTGTGGCCAGCGTCAGGCAGTGCGGGGGTGGGCGCGGAGACTCTTAGCTGCCCCTCCCTCACACCAGGCTCTGCCCCGGTCCCTGGGGAAGTTGAGCAAGCTGACCAACCTCAACGTGGACCGCAACCACCTGGAGGAGCTGCCGCCCGAGATTGGGAGCTGCTCGGCGCTCAGTGTGCTCTCCCTCAGGGACAACCGTCTGGCTGTCCTGCCCCCAGAGCTGGCGCACACTGCCGAGCTGCACGTGCTCGACGTGGCTGGGAACCGGTGAGGGTCACTTTCCCCGCCCCTGGCCCCTGCTGGTCACACCCACACGCCCTCCACTGACTGAAATCGCCCATCCTCCCCATGCAGGCTGCAGAGTCTGCCGTTCGCGCTCACCCACCTCAACCTCAAAGCGCTGTGGCTGGCGGAGAACCAGGCCCAGCCTATGTTGCGCTTCCAGACGGAGGACGATGTCCGCACCGGCGAGAAGGTGCTCACCTGCTACCTGTTACCACAGCAGCCCTCACCCAGCCTCGGTAGGTGCCAGTGTCCAGGGCGGGCTAGGTCCCCAGGGGGCCAGTCTCCTGACACCCTCTCCCCCCCCCCCCCACAGAGGACACTGAGCAGCACAGCCCCTCTGAGACCTGGAGCAACGCCCCCTTGAGCCGCGTTAGTGTCATCCACTTCCTGGAGGAGCCCACGGGGGAAGAAGATGCTGAGGAGGCTGCCTCTGAATCACGGGTATGGGGGGATGGGGTCCCCGGGCGGGGCACCACCTGACCCCTGGCCTGCCCCTGTCCCTCACCCATGTCATGTCTACAGGGCCTGCAGCGCCGCGCCACACCGCACCCCAGCGAGCTCAAAGTGATGAAGAGGGGCATCGAGGAGCGGCGCAACGAGGCCACCCCCTGCAGACCTGGCCCCCAGCCACCCTCACCCGACGAGGAGGTGTCTGGAGTGGTGAGGGTGGGGGCTGTTGAGGCCACTGGGAGTGGATTAAGACCTGGGTGGGGGGAATGATGTATCCGGGGAGCGCAGGGTGGGAGCAACACCAGCAAAGGGACCAGCGCCCGGCCGTGTCCTGCCGTCCTGCTTCAGGAGAAGAGGCTGAGCACCGATTCTGCCTTGAGCGAGGCCTCACGTCCGTCTGCAAGTAGCGGCTCCGAGGGGGAGTGTGAGGGCCTTCCGGCTGAGGAGGAAACCCTAGACCAGCAGGAAACTCTGCCAAGCAGCCCAGAGGAGGACTATGAGGAGGTAAGGCTGGGCTGGGAGAAGTTGGGGGACTCGTGGTGTGCATGACTGCTAGGTCACACGGATGGCCGTGGGACTGGGGGTACTACCAGAGGGTGGGGCTCTCCTGGGGCCGTGTTGCCAAGGATCCTGGGGAGGGGGCTTCTCTAGGTGGGAATACAGGGCAGGTTCCATCTCAAACCTCGGTACCCCCTCAGTGAAGTAGACTCTGGTCTGCAGCCTTCCCTATGTGTCACCCTCAGCTGCAGGGGACCCCTGGAAACCCCATCTGCTGCCCTTGGGGCCTCCTTCCCTGACCTCACAGTGCTGCACAGCCCACCTGAGCCCCTCAGAGGAGGGCGTGGGCTGGGACCAAGCTGGGCAGCCAACCCCTCACACCTGTGCCCACAGCCCACAGTGCACTTCGCAGAGGACACGCTGCTGCCGAGAGAGGACAGCGAGGACGAGGAAGGGCAGGCCGAGTCTGCCTGGCCTGCAGCAGGTGGACGGCAGCGGCTGATCCGCAAGGACACGCCACATTACAAGAAGCATTTTAAGATCTCGAAGCTGCCGCAGCCGGAGGCAGTCGTGGCCCTGCTGCAGGGGGCACGGCCAGATGGTGAGGGCCAGGCAGGGCCCAGCAGCTGGCACAACGGTCCCCACTCGCCCTGGGCTCTTGGGCCTGAGGAGGAGGAGGACGGGACAGTGGAGGAGGAGCTGGAGGAGGAGGAGGTCGTGGCTTCTGCACCCTCTGTCAAGGTGTGTCTCCACCTGTGACCCTCCTGACCTTTGACACCGAGCAAGGGAAGCCGGATGCAGGTCTGGGCCCTCAAGGCCGCGCTGTGTCAGCCTCACTTGCTGTTTGCTGGGCTGTGGGGTCGGTGTCTGGCAAGGGGAGCTCGGGGCCACAGGGGCTGATGCAGGATGCTCCTCACATCCCCCCAGGTGGCTACCTACCGTGGCGGTCTGGTGTCTCCCGGTTCCTGCAGGGGCCGGGCTCTAGAAGCCAGGGCCCCCAACCACCACCACCACCACCTCCCAAAACCCATCCCCTCATCCTATGGTTCCCTTAAGGGGTCTAAGATGACTCTGCGCCTGAGGCAGCCCGAGACCAGGGTACCCCCAGCAGTGACCCTACCAGCATGCCTCGTGGCTAGCCTTGAGAAACAGGGAGTGGTCAGTCTCCCAGCAGACGGCCCCTGGCTCCCAGATGTGCCCCTGCCCTTCCTGGTGGACCTGAGGGGACCCTCACACCTGCAGGCTGGGGTGTCCAGCTCACCATCGAGCTTGCAGGCGGTGTGCAGACAGGTGGCACTAGGGCACGGGCTCGGTGGGCTCTCGCGCTCTCTCTCTGCCTCACAGCCGGGCGCGGCGGGCGGTGGTGGTGGTGGCGCTAACCTGCATGCCTCACAGCCGGGCGCGCGGTGGCGGCGCTAACCTGCATGCCTCGCTGGTCCTGTCCTAACAGGGGGTGTCGTTTGACCAGGCCAATAACCTGCTGATAGAGCCCGCCCGCATTGAGGAAGAGGAGGTCGGTACCGCCTGCCGCTCTTGCTGGCTTCGGGGCTGCGGGCTCGCGATTTCCCTCTGCTTGCACTGCCCCCCTGTATGGGTGCCCAGGCGCTCGGGCAGACTGGTCCTGCTGAGGGCCCCCCACAGTCTCAGGCAGTCTATCTGCAGGTGTGGTGCTGGCCCCCACAACAGTGCTCTGGGGCCCAAGGCCAGGCTGCCAGGAGGACCAGCTCCCCTCTCCTCCCCTGCTGGACAGACCTGGACAGCCCCATGTCTGTTTGTCTTTCCAGCTAACTCTCACCATTGTACGGCAGACAGGGGGTCTGGGCATCAGCATCGCTGGGGGCAAGGGCTCCACCCCCTACAAGGGAGATGATGAGGTGAGGGCCTGTGTTGCCCCTACTCCGCCCACCCCCGATTCCCCGGCTCCCCATCCTTAGCGTCTTTGCCTGCTACCCTTTGAGTGACTTTGAAGCTCTGGGACTCATTCTTTTCTGGGGTCTTTGGTGCACCTGGGGCTCCCTGCTGCTGTGGAGGCGCCGCGTGTGTAAACATGGGAGAGCAATGTAACGTAAAAGGCTCACTTGGTGCCCAGCTGGGCCTTCGATCTCAGCAGAATCAGGGGCAGGGAGCAAAGTCCCTGTGGGTGGAGGCTTGGAGGGCATCTAAGGGTTCTCCCACCTTGCTGACCTCTGACCTGCCCCGGCAGGGTATATTCATCTCCCGAGTATCCGAGGATGGACCTGCTGCCCGAGCTGGAGTCCGAGTCGGGGACAAGCTCCTGGAGGTGAGATTGCTGAGGGCCTGTGCCCCCCCATTCCTCCCTGTCGCCTTTCCCCACTGCTTGGCGGGGCTTTTGGTGAGACCCCCAGGCCCACTAACGAGCATGCTCAGGCGGCCCCCCCCCATTGTGGTGGGAGGCCCCAGGAGGGCGGCTGCCATGGACTCTGCCTTGGGAGACTGTTCCCGAAGGGGGTGCTGGAACCTCTTGGTACCCAACGTCCTACCTAGGGCCTAGGGGTGCTCTTCCCCTGGTTGGAGGGGTGGGGGGCTGTGCAGTGCAGAGTGTGGGACTGCATCCTCCCCAGCCCTGAGGCTGGGCACTGCCACGCCGGCCTCAGCCTACCCCCCACAGGTGAACGGCGTGGCCCTGCAGAGCGCTGAACACCACGAGGCTGTGGAGGCTCTGCGGGGGGCGGGAGCCACCGTGCAGATGCGGGTATGGCGGGAGCGCATGGTAGAGCCAGAGAATGCGGTCACGGTCACACCACTTCGGCCCGAGGACGACTACAGCCCCCGGGACAGGCGCCCAGGTGGCCTCCGCCTGTCCCTACCCCCGCCGGACCCTGGGCCCCTACGCCAGCGCCATGCTGCTTGCCTGGTGCGCAGTGACAAGGGCCTGGGCTTCAGCATTGCCGGTGGGAAAGGCTCCACCCCCTACCGGACTGGTGACATGGTGAGAGCCGGGTATGCGGGGGGCCAAGCGAGGACAGCAGGGACAGGGTGGGCTCAGGCCTCATGGTGACCTCCCCTCACCTTCCCAGGGCATCTTCATCTCCCGCATCGCCGAGGGAGGTGCTGCCCACCGGGCGGGTACTTTGCAGGTTGGCGACCGTGTGCTCTCGGTGAGTGGGCGGGCTAGGGGCGAGGTGGTAGCCGGCACCCTGTATGCTGGACGCTGACCAGGCACCGCTCTTGCAGATTAATGGCGTGGACATGACGGAGGCCCGGCACGACCACGCCGTGTCCTTGCTCACTGCCGCCTCACCTACCATCGCCCTGCTGCTGGAGCGGGAGACCGGGCTGCCCCTGCCCCCCAGTCCCCCCCCACACTCCCCCCCGCCTCCTGCTGCCGCCACCCCAACCACTGCCTGCCCTGGAGAGCCTGGCCCACCACAGCTGGCCCCTAGCCTGCTTGCCATCGCCCTGGAGGGGCCCTATCCAGTGGAGGTGAGCTTCCCCTGGGCCCCCATCACCTCCGCAGCTCCAAGGACGTGGCCATGGTCCCCAGGACCTCTTCTTGTGCTGACACTGCCTGTCTTTTCAGACTGGCTCGGCCCCCATCAGCCTCCCCCCTCCACTGCCCTTGCCTGGGTCACATGACTGTGGTCCATGAGGCTGTGGTCGGAGCCAGCTGGGCCAGGCAATCGGACATAGCCGGGCCCTCCCCTTTCCTGATGCACATCTTGAACGGCTTTGTGTGTCTCCCAAACTGGTGATTGGGACTCAGTCCTCTGCCACCTACCCGTTCCGTCTACGGGGCAGCACCTAAATCTCCCTCACCCCCATGTCCCCAGGAAATCCGGCTGCCCAGAGCAGGGGGCCCACTGGGGCTCAGCATTGTCGGGGGCTCGGACCACTCGAGCCACCCGTTTGGCGTTCAGGAGCCGGGAGTGTTCATCTCTAAGGTATCTACGCCGACTCTGCACATCTGGGTGGGCATGGGCAAGGAGCCAGCTGTCCATGCCCACCAGCCTGCCTCCCCCTACAGGTGCTGCCTCGGGGCCTAGCTGCACGCAGTGGCCTGCGGGTTGGGGACCGCATCCTGGCGGTGAACGGACAGGACGTGCGGGCAGCCACACACCAGGAGGCGGTCAGTGCCCTCCTCCGGCCCTGTCTGGAACTAAACCTGCTAGTCCGCAGGGACCCACCTCCTCCGGGCATGAAGGTAGATGCTGGGCTGGGCCCAGGGGCAGGGAGGGGGGCTATGCTCATGCCCACTAGCAACCCACTCTGCTCATCCTGTCCAGGAGCTCTGCATCCAGAAAGCCCCCGGGGAGAAGTTGGGCATCAGCATCCGTGGGGGTGCCAAAGGCCATGCGGGGAACCCCTGTGATCCCACCGACGAGGGAGTGTTCATCTCCAAGGTGAGGCTGTCACCGAGTGTGGGCATCTACAGTGGGGTGCCGGGAAGCAGGTGCTGAGGGCAGTGCTGGGCGTGGGGTCTCAGCTGTGTCCCTCTGCAGGTGAGCCCTGCGGGAGCGGCAGGCCGAGACGGCCGGCTGCGGGTGGGCCTTCGACTGCTGGAGGTGAACCAGCAGAGCCTGCTGGGCCTAACGCACACCGAGGCGGTACAGCTGCTGCGTGGCGTGGGTGACACCCTCACTGTGCTCGTCTGTGACGGCTTCGACACCAGCTCCACCGCCCTGGAGGTCAGTGTGCCCTCCACTGCCCAGACTCAAGGGTCCCTGAGGGAGCTCAGGCCCACAGGATCAGGCCGCCTTGGCAGCAACAGGACATTGTCTACGGCCTGAGTGGATCGGTGGTCACCTCAGTGCTGCTCCCAGTCCCTCCTACAGCCTGGTCCCTGTTGGCTGGAGATTGTCCCAGCTCAGGCCTGTCCTCTCTGACTCTCCTGCCCCACTCCCTCCCTGGCACCTCCTCACATGCGGCACCTCAAGTGTATCTGCTGACCCACAGTGTGGAAGCCTTGTGCTCCCCACCCTCCCGGGCCCTGCCTTGCTCCCCTGGTCGGCTATCACACCAGCAGTTTGGTGGGTTTGTCCTGTCGTCATGCTGACAAGATGGGTTCACATTTGTGTTTCTGTGTCTCGCTGCCTGACGTGGCCCTGGAGGCTGTGTGGCCCCCTCAGGATTGCTCGCTGGGTCCCTTGTGCCCCCTCAGTTCCCACTCACAGGAGCCTTGGTGGGTTCACAGGCGTGTCTCCTAGGGCTTGGCTGGGGTGGTTCTGTCACCAGAAAGGACAATGTTGGTAGCTGCCATCGAGTGGGCTGAAACTCAGAGTGGCCTTAGGTAATGGGACAGCAGGTGCCCCCCTGTGCCACGTAACCATCGTTGGCTGGGTCTGGAGGCTCTCCCTCGCCGTCGCTGACCCTCCGCTTTACCAAACATGCCGCCGTTCTCCGGAGATCGGTCTTCTCCAGTGGTGTGCCCTACCAGACCTTACCATCCATGCTTTAAAGGAACATTCCAACTGTCATTATTCCAAGATTTCAGGATTCGTATCCCCAACTCAAAGGCATCGATTCTTCTGTCTTCTTTTTTCATTGTCCAGCTTTCGCACACACGTGAGGTGCTTAAAAGGACCAGGGCGTGGGTCACATGCATCTTAGTCCTCCAGGTGGGATCCTTGCTTTATAGAACATTGGGGAAGTGTTTGGCAGTAGATTTGCTCAGTGCATTACGTTGTGTGGATTTTAAACTGCTGCTTTCTCAGGATTGATCGTCAATCCAAGTTGAATAAAACGGTGACTCGTCTAGTTCTGTTTGCCAGGACGCCGTTTATAGACGGTTGGCTGCACACAGGAGTCCTGGCATGGCGCTGCGGAGTAATGCTCTGGGCTGCAAAGTTGGTTTGAACCACAAGGTCAACGGTTCAAGCTTACTAGCCACTCGTCAGGGACCTTGTACAGGGTCACTATGGGTCAGAAGTAACTTGATAGCACTTTACAACTATCCATATATAAGGTTTTCATTGGCTAAGTTTTAGAAGTAAGTTTTTAGGTTTTCTTCCCGTCTGTCTTAGTCTGGAAGTTCTGCTGGAACCTGGCCACCACGAGTGACCGACCTTGTGGTGACAGGTCCAGCACAAACGACAGACAGACAGATGGACGGATGGACGGATGGTGGAAAGAGGGCTCTGCCTTGTGTTTGTTTCTTAGAAATGCACATCAGGCTATTTAATTGAGCGCATTTCTTCAAGCTGTTTCTTCAGAGAGGGAGAACACGTATGGGGTTAGACATCCTGGAACATGTTTGTAAGCCCTGTCCTCCTGTGGGCAGCCCGTGTCCACCATTGGGTGGGCAGGGGTCTGGCCGTACCCTTGTCGAGCGGCACAGTGATCCTCAGATACCCTGATGGCTGCTCTCCCTTCCCCCACATGCAGCTGCCAGGTCCCCTCCTGCTCTCCAGCCAGTCCTGAGCATGCTTACACGCTCACAGCTGGTGTGCATGCTGCGGATGAGTGCGTCAGAGTGCAAACATGGCCCCCTCAGTCATGTCTGGGAGTGGTGCTGTGGGTTTCCCTGTGTACCCCCAGTGGAGGGGGACAGGTGTCCATCCTCTGTGCTGTTAGGTGGAGATGAGCTAGTTGCTCCATCCGTCACTTTTTTTTTTTTTTTTTAATGATTTATTGTGAATTATGTGACAGTTTACATGGGAGAACATTAATTTTACATTCATTCTATCGTATATCGTCTCATTGCCATGGTTACAATCCCCTCCATGCAATCCTTCCCCCGTACCCCTCAGGCCTTCAGCACACAGTCGCTCTCCCTCTCTGGACCTAAAGTCCCTAGCTGCTCCATCGCTCCACGTCATCATCTCTGGCTCCATTTCAGGCATCACTGCTTCTCTGGGTAGGATCCCGTTCTCTGCTCTTCTCCCTTGATGCTCCTAGGGACCTCCATTCCTAGACTGAAAAGTCAGTCACTCCCCTCCTTGCTATAAAACGTCTACCTTTACATTTCTG